GATTCACCACCCTTAACAGGAAACTCGAGGACGAATAAACCTCTCTCTCAAATAAGTCCAGCCTTCTTGAGTCTTTATTTTTCAGAGTAGGGGCTGGTTGGACCTGCCTCTCCCTGTGGTTGATCGACTCGACCACCAGGGAGTTGGGGGCAGGGTGGGTGTACAGGTATTCATGCCCCTTGGCAGGCACAAAGTACTTCCATTCTGCCCTCTTAGAAATGGGGAGCAAGGAAGCCAGGGTTTGCCACAAGGTGTTTGAAATCTTTGCCATCCCTTTGTGGAGTGGGAGATCCACCCTGCTCGGTACTGAGGCAGATAGAACATTGAAGAGGGAGTCCGAGGATTCCTCCACCTCCTCGGCCGGAAGGTTGAGGCTTGATGCCACCCTTTTCAATACTTCCTGGTGGGCAGTCCTCCTGAGGAACGGAGGGAGGAGGGGCCGTAATCGCCTCATCAGGGGAGGATGAGGATGCAGGAGTGGTACTCTGCGTACCCACCAGTACTGGAGGTCCCACCACTTGGTCGCCCTCCGGGCATGGAACCGAAGATGCACGCCCCACCGACTCCTTTCTGGGAGGCTGGGAAAGGGAGGCCGATGGTCTTTCCGAGGCTCCAGCCACTGAGCGAGCCTGCACCAGGGGCTGCGTCAGGGGCCATGGGGCCCATTGGTACCACGGTGCCTGCCAAGGAGCCTGGTCCCATTGTACCTGCTGTGGCACTGGTAGAGCAGGCTGTTCAGCCTGACTAGCCTGTCCCCAATCGACTGATGACTACTAAGAGAGGCCGGGCTGGCATACGACCTGCCGCTGTCCCTGGACCGGGAGGAGCAGTGGTGTCGGGAACGGTGCTGACCACGAGACCGTGATCCCGACATGGAGGAACGGTACCGCCAGTAGCAGCTGCTCCACGATCGGCTCTGGCGGGCGGATCTGCGATGGTGAGGTGTCGGCGATCGACGCCTGGGACTGTGGGAGCAGTGCCATGGCAGGGTCCTGAAGCAAGACGAAGAACAGGGACAGCGTTGACGCCCCTATTGCGACAGGCTACGGTAGCCTCTCGGAGACGAGACCTGCTCCCCTCGCGAGGTCTACAGTCCCTCGAGGTGAAGCGGTGCCTGGAACCCCTGTCAGTCAGAACCCAGCCAGACAACCTGGTGGGGGTCAATGGTGACGGGCGTGGACTATGCACGGGACGGTCGCTGAGTGGCGAAGGGCGTGGGGAACATTCCCTCGACCGCAAACAGTACTGACCAGGAAGCGACTGTGGAGATCCAAGTGGTGGCTTGCCTTTGGACTGGGGAGCCAACGGTGGTGTGCCCCTGGTACCGGCAGAGACATAACGTCCTGGGACGCTTGCAGGGCCTCTGGGGTGGAGGAAACCCAGACATCTGGGGAAGCCTGTGCTGAAAGGGCTGGGCTACTCCGCTCAACTTGAGTCGGAGGCCTGGAGGCTGACAAGGACTGAGAACTGCCCAACGTAGGTCTAGTCTCTCCCCCGGTCTTGCTCCGGTGCCTTGGCGGAGAAGACCTCTTCTTAGCCTTCTTGGTGTGCCCCGCGGACGGGGAGCAGTGCCAACTGGTGGAAGGAACCAAAGGGTCGCCGCGCACCAACACCGCGGTACCCAGGGCCGACTTGGAGCGGCGCACCGGAGTTGGGGTCAACGCCGACTCCATCAGAATGGCTCGGAGCCGAATGTCCCTTTCTTTCTTGGTCTGAGGCTTGAAAGATCTGCAAATCTTGCAGCGATCGCTGAGATGGGTTTCCCCCAGACAGCGTAAACAGTACGCGTGCAGGTCATTCACTGGCATCAGCCACCTGAAAGTGTTGCACAACTTAAAGCCCGGGGCACGCCCCGGCTTGGGCGCACTAACTAAACTGACACTAATCTAAACTACTTCAATTACAGGTACTACTAACTATGAATGAACAAGCGTTCAAGAGGAAAGCTGCAGACAAGCTGGAGCAGAGCAGTTCCAATGCTGGGGGCAAGAAGGGTGGGGGGGAGCGCGCAGCACCCCTTATACTGCACCATGGAGGCACCACTCCAGAGGTCGCTAGGGGCGCACCCCTACGGGTACTGCTAGAGGAAAAACTTCCGGCACCGGTGCATGTGGCGAGCAAGCACACCACCTATTGTGGAATATAAATGAGCAACACCAAAATAGCAATACTAAAAATTGTGCAGAATCATTGATCATCTATGCTTGAGATATTTAGATAGTAATATAAAAGAACAGTGTCAATTTAAAACCTAGCCAATTTCAAAAATTAGATATTACATCTGGCCCTTTTGTCCCTCTGCCAGTCTGTAGTTTAATAGTTAAATTTTCCTATTTTTAAGACTATTTCTCTTCCCTAAGGTTGTGTGAGACAACCCCCCACACAAACAATGGAAACTGACTATACAGTGGAAATTGCATTTGATAGTGCTTTGTGTATTGTCAGTTTCACAAACTAAGCAGTCATCCATTTTTCCAGTTATAGTTAAACAAAAAAGTTTAGAGGAATCTTAAGTGGTTTCAATTAATAATGGCTACTGCAGAAAAATCTAGGAGAGATACTTCTCGTAATAACAGGAAGTAGCATTTTAAAAAAGAAGATAAAAATTACTACTTTCATAAGCTGACAGTGTCCCTTTAAGGAATAACTGTATTGTCGTACAGGTGTCATACGTTGCTTACACAAATGAAAGTGCTAAACAATTTCTCCTACAGTTTTAATGGTTATAGAATATAAGCAATGATCATCAATGTAAAGCTTAACATCAGTAGGTATCTTTTAACCTGGCTAAAAAAAAACAAAAACAAAAACAAAACACATGACTAATAAAGTATTTGGGCTAGACTGTCTCCTTCCACAGGAAACAGTCTACTGGAAACTTCAGTAGGTTTGTAAGTTTTTTTTTTTTTTTTAAACTGCATGGAGCATTCCATGAGTACAGTGTGAAAACCTCACAATGCTCATTTCAAGAGACCCGGAGGGTGGGCCAACTCTTCCTCTATGCTCCAAATAGACCAGGGGTGGGCCAGATCTGGCCTGCCAGCCATTTTAATCCGGCCCTCGAGGTCTGGGGCTTGCCCTGCTCCGGCTCTCCAGATGGGGAGCAGGATCGGGGGCCACTCCACGCAGCTCCTGGAAGCAGCGGCATGGCCCCCCTCCTGGGGCAGCCAGGGGGCTCCACTCTGTACGCTGTCCCCGCCTCAAGCACCACCCCCGCAGCTCGCATTGGCTGGGAACCAGCCTCCTCATCCTCAGCCCCACCCCAGAGCCTGTACCCCCCAGCCGGAGCCCTCACCCTTCACCCCCCTGTGCCCCAATCCCCTACCAGCCTGGAGCCCCCTCCTGGACTCTGAACTCCTCATTTCTGGCCCCACCCCGGAGCCTGCACCCCCAATCAGAGCCCTCACCCCCTCCCGCACCCCAACCCCAATTTTGTGAGTGTTCATGGCCTGCCATACAATTTCTATTCCCCGATGTGGCCCACTCCTGAAATAGACCTACCACTTAGCCCAGTGTTTCTCAAACTGGGGCCGCCGCCTGTGTAGGGAAAGCCTATGGCAGGCCGGGCCGGTTTGTGTACCTGCCCCGTCCACAGGTCCGGCCGATCACGGCTCTCACTGGCCGTGGTTCGCCGCTGCAGGCCAATGGGGGCTGCTGGAAGCAGCAGCCAGTACGTCCCTCGGCCTGCACCGCTTTCAGCAGCCCCCATTGGCCTGGAGCGCCAAACCGCAGCCAGTGGGAGCCACGATCGGCCGGACCTGCAGATGGGGCAGGTAAACAAACCGGCCCAGCCCACCAGGGGCTTTCCCTATACAAGCGGCGGCCCCAGTTTGAGAAACACTGACTTAGCCTGATCACCTAGCTTCCTCAGGAGCCAGACCTACTCGCAAACATATACTTTATCCTCCTCCCCAAAAGGGGGGTAAGTGGAAGAGGAGCTCACAGCATTTCCAAAGCGGATTTCCACTCAGAAATCCACAGCACCCTCGGGAGCATTTTGCTGGGAATGACTGCTCCTCATTTCCATTCATCTATCTCTGACTCTTGGTTCACTTCCTTTGGACCTGTAGAATCCAGGCCCTGCACTGTTTGAGAGAGTGCTTTCACAGCTCCCAGGGAAGGTGGAGTTTACAACTGAGTCAGTAGTAATCTCTCCCAAATCTTTAATGTGCTTCACCCACTTTTTACTGAGTTAGGCTCAATTGTGGCTCCTAAATAAAGGGGAGAATTGGGCCTTTTATGTTTTCCAGCCCAACCCACCCATTTTTCAGAACTACATGCAGAAGGGCCACACCCTGGCAGAGTGGCTTGTTTTTATTAGTGTAAATATACAATTAAATGATTATGATCATTAATTAGAAAAAAAAGAATTTTTAAGAAGTTTGCGTTAAAACACAACAGCAAAACTGAATACAAGAGAAGTCTACAAGGAAAAAAATATTGTTATGCTTCTTTTTTTCCACATGTAAAGCATGTGGTTCTTGAGATCAAAGCAGTTAAGCTAGTAAGATATTGATCCCTTCTGAATTACCTGCCATTCAGATAAAATAGAAAAATATCATTAACCTAAGCTGCCTTTACAAAATCAAAGAGAGTTTGTAATGCTAGTAGCTAGAGCTTGAGATATGGAGTCAAGAAACTAGATTCTAGTCCTGGATCTATGTGGTTTTAGGTAAATCACACAGGGCAACGTTTTTGTAAGTGCCTAAGTGTCTTTGGAACCTAAGTCCCACTGACTTTCAATGAGACTTAGTGCTTAAGTCACTTTTGAAAATGAAAGCAAGAGCTTAAGTCACTTAAGTATTTAGGTTCTATTTGAAGATTTAATCCATAACCATTTTGTTCCTCAGTTTATCCATCTGTAAAGTGGGGATACCTATTATACTTCCTCACAGTTTAGAGATTCTCAGAAGGAGGTTGCCACATCAGAGCATAGCATTATTTTAGACTGGCAAGGCAATATAACAGCAATTTTAAGCAACATTTATTTTAATTCTTACTTTGTTTGTCCAATACGATGCACTCTGCCAATGGCCTGAAGTTCATGTGCAGGATTCAAAATGGGCTCCACTAGCAGAACATGAGTTGCCTCAATTATATTTAATCCATTGGAACCAGTATGAAGGGGTAGCAACAAAATATTGATCTTGGGATCATATTTAAATGCCGAGAGGTTCTCCTAGGAGATAAACACCATATTAGCATTTCAGTGGGAGTTATTCCTGAATAAGGAGTGTAGGATAGGTACAACAATCAGGATCCAGACACCCCAGGGTGAAGAATGAGAAATTGAATCAACTAATTGTATACAATATTATTGTACTACAAAAGTGTGAGTAATGTCTGTTAGGAAAGCTGGTGACTTTCTGGTCATTAATATTACTGAGTGATATATGTACACTTAGTGTGTAAAGAGGTAGATATGTATGCTGGGAATATGTTCCTAAATCACGGTCAGACTAAGTAATCCCAGTAGAGTAGATAAATAGGTTCGTCCCGGACAAAGGAATGTGGATTTGCCAGTCTGCCGAGGTCAAGCTTTGTAAGGTAGAGAAAATATATTTGCATCTAAGGTAAATAAAGTAAACAAACCAATAGAAACAGGATGAAGACGACGACATGGCATCTGCACATCAGTGGGAGAGTACCTCTGTCTGGGGTGTGCACTTCAAAAGAAACATTTCAAAGGTTTACTAGACTATGAGAAGGGCAGAAAATCCCTAAGTTACCCATCACTTAGGGGACAAAGAGATCAGCACCCGCTAATTCTGTGAACAGTGGATCCTCCTGCCCAAAGGGCTGGAGAGGCTGGTAGCCTGATGTGAGAAAGCTGCTTAGGAAAAGATTGTAACTCGCTAATGTTAGTTTTAGTCACTAGAAAGCGTGTTGTTTTGTTTGTAACCATACCTGTCTCTTTTTCTCTGGCTTAGTACCACTTACATTTATGTTTTTTAATAAACATACTCTTAGTTGTACTATAAACCAGTGCTGTGTATTAAGGTAAAAAGTATGCCTTCAGCTGGGCTATCAGGCTGGTGTGTATGTACACTGTCTCTTTGGAGACAGTGGATTTAGTAATTTCTGTGAATATCTAGTGAGAGGGACTGGACACTACAGAGGCAAATATATTTTCACTGTCTCTACCTTACGTCCTTTGTCCGGGATGAACCTTTGTCTCTGGGTTCACTGAATGTTACCTGCAAGGCAAGGTTTAGATTGGCAGAGGCCTTGGCTACACTTGCGGATTCACAGCGAGTGTATTTGCGCCACCAGCGCTGCGAGAGCTCTCTCGCAGCACTGCAAGTACTCCACCTCTCCAAGGGGAATAGCTTGCGGCACTGCGAGCGAGCGTGCAGCGCTGCAGGCGCTGATTACACTGGTGCTTCACAGCGCTGCACTCGCTGCGCTCAGGGGGGGTGTTTTTTCACACCCCTGAGCACAGCAAGTGCAGCGCTGTGAATTGCCAGTGTAGCCAAGGCCTGAGTCTCAAAAAGGTTGCTGGAGAGGCAGATAGACTGGTGTGGCAAGGAGGTGACATACTAATTAAGCTCCAGCAAAGCTTTCTCTTGCTGAGGCAGAGGGGTAACACAGTGGCTTACACTTCTTGGTTTCCTGAGAAGAATGTTTGTCTTTTTGTTTTTTAAAAAAAGACAATTTAGTAATTGGCAGCCCTGAACACAGAAGTCTTCTTTTATCCAAAGGACAAATGAGCAGCAGCAGTGCAAGCATCCCCCACAACATCCTAGCTGATCTGTCTCATCCCTTTCAGCCACACAATTTTTTTTTAATTATAGTTTATGGCTTATATTTGTGTTTTTGATAGTGTTTTTTTAATTATTATGATTTCAGAGTTCATTAGCTCAGAAATCAAATGCTCTGCCTTGATCAGTTCTATTATTCTCATTTCATTTTCCCAAAGGAGATGCAAGGTGAAAGGGTCAAATGAATTTCTGCTGATTATTTCCCCACCAACTCCTCCCACAAAAAATGACTTGCAGCAAAATCAGCTTTCTGTACCTGAAATTTACTAATTCCATTTATCTGAGCAAACACCATGTTGTTATCATATAGAGCTTTTGAAATTATGTCCAAAACATCTTGCCACTAGAAAAACACAATATAAAAGCAAGTCAGTATTACAAATAGCACTGACAACACTAGAACATGAAAATATGGCAGGACTATAATATCTTAACCTTACCAATAAATAACCCAAGAGACTGCAGTTATAAAAGGAACCTCTTATGATACGCCTTAAATTAACATTAAACAAATTTTTGTTTTTTGGTGGTTTTTTTCCCTCCAAGAACAATATATTTTAAAAATTGTCTTAATATTAAAAATTCAAAGTGGCAAACAGTTCAGCATTCAAAGTGGGCAAACAGAATCCATAGGAGAGAAAACCAGTGTAAAGAAATAAAGATAAGTTTGAGCAGAAGAGATTTGCAACAATGAAATATAGTTTTAAAATTTATGAAAAATACTTTGACAGTGTCTTTTCTATCTAGTTAAAATACATGTAGAACTGATAATACGTCTGCATATGAATTTTCAATGTTTGCCCTTTGAACATCTGTAAAATGGGGGATAATGATACTGATCTCCCTTGTGAAGTGCTTTGAGATCTACTGAAGAAAAGTGCTATATATAAGAGCTAGATGCTATTATACAATACTTTCTATCTATTAACCATGAGTACTATCAACAATGTCCCAATGACATGAAGAATCCTTCACAACTCTCAAAGAATCAAGTGGATATTGAAAACTACTTACATAGTTTAGTAGCTAAACTGAATTTTGGAAACAGTTATTGGCATCTAAGAATTTGTAGTACACAAAGTAACCTTTAAGGTAGAAACTGTTGATAAATACCGTTGAGAAAACTAAAGATTTAGCCCCTGGATCTTTAAACTGGATTTTCTTCAGAGTCCGAACCACAGCTTCCACTTTGGTGGAGTGACTTCCCTTTGAAAAGGGGAAAGAAAAACAGCAGCTTACAGTAGGATGAAGCAAAACTGAAGGAAACAAAACCACACATGCACATTATATACTCATCTTTCTATTAGCATCTCTTAAATATAGTGCGGTCTCTGTCTTATATATCTCAAAAGGGATCAGCAAATATCTCTTACCCTGGTACACATTTTTTTGGATAGGTCTTATAAAATTATACCTTTGGAACTTTGGAAGTACTTACCATAGTTTGCTCTTAGACCGTACTCTTCCCAGGGCAGAGACTATAGGTGAAATTCAGAACTTGCAGCCTGTGAGTGGGAGGAGGGGTAGGCCAAAATGGCTTTAAGCTGCCTTTGTGCCTTCCCAGAAACCTACTGTTCTGGAGTTACAGCGATCTCCACTGTAATTTAGACAGCCCTCTGGATGGTAGTGCTGTCCATAACCTCCACAATGCTTTGTGCTGAAATCCAGTCCCTGACACAACTCTTCCCTTCCCCAGCATATCCACTATGCCTCAGAGGGCTTGCAAGGGGGTCCTTGAAGGATAGCCTATGACAGTCTTGCTTAGTTCCTACACTGAGTGAATTCTTCCCTGGCCGAATTCAGGGCTTTTAGGGGTTATATGACATTTGGCCCTTTTCCCTAGCATCCAAGGGCTGGCTGGAGTTGGAGGGAGAATCTCACCATCTGTTTTTGTTTGTGTCTTGTACAGCAATGAGTATGCTGTCACCCCAGAAATAAATAATTCTTTAAAAAGGTTGTTTAACATAGGGTTCTAGCTATTGTTTGTTTTATTTATTTTGATTTATGTAACAAGGGGCGTCTTTTCCAAAGTTTCTTGGTGCTTTTAACAGACATTTAAAGAACAATCACAACAAAAGACCATTAGAAAACGTAACCAATGAGCAATTAAAATTTTGAGATAAACAGTACTCACAAGTCCCAGCTCTCATTTAACTCTAACAGACAGGCTTTCCCAAATGTTGTAAATGTCAACAGACTCAGGCTATTTTGTAACAAGTGGAGGGGATAGAAATCCAAAGTCCAGGGCCATTATGGAGAGCACCCTGCCAGCAAGTTCCCCCTCACTTAAAGAAGATATCCAGCTTGGGTGCTTTGATTACACTGGTCTACAATTATTGGGAAGTCGTCTGCTTCAGAAATAAACTGTGCTATTTATTATGTATTTTGATGTGCTGAATTCAAATAGGACAATTAAAACAACTGATTGGCTACTGTTTCTAAGATATTTAAGTTTTTACATTTTATGTCTATGTATATTGTGTAATAGTAGAGTTTTAATCATAAATTGTAAACCTAGGTCTTTTCATGTGTTTATGGTTGCTTTAAAAATCAGCAAGACAGGTGAAATATTATCATGTAAAGTGTTAGATAAACAGAAGGGTTATATAAATAAAATTTATTATGAAACAAAAGGCAAAAAACTATTATGTACATAGTTTAGTCCTATTCAGTGTCTACTCGGCGCTTCTTGGCTTGTCTCTTGTATTCATTAAATGGAGCATCTCTTGTCACTGTCCAGCAATAGTCTGCAAGCACTGATGGGCTCCATTTGCCGTGATAGCGTTTCTCCATTGTTGCAATGTCCTGGTGAAATCGCTCGCCGTGCTCGTCGCTCACTGCTCCGCGGTTCGATGGAAAAAAAAATCTACATGAGAGTGCAAAAAATGTATCTTTAGTGACATGTTGCGACCAAGGCTTTTGTATGCCTTGAGGAGGTTTTCCACCAACAACCTGTAGTTGTCTGCCTTGTTGTTTCTGAGAAAATTGATTGCCACTAACTGGAAGGCTTTCCATGCCGTCTTTTCCTTGCCACGCAGTGCATGGTCAAATGCATCATCTTGAAGAAGTTCACAAATCTGAGGACCAACAAAGACACCTTCCTTTATCTTAGCTTCACTTAACCTTGGAAATTTTTCACGGAGGTACTTGAAAGCTGCTTGTGTTTTGTCAATGGCGTTGACAAAGTTCTTCATCAGACCCAACTTGATGTGTAAGGGTGGTAACAAAATCTTCCTTGATTCAACAAGTGGTGGATGCTGAACACTTTTCCTCCCAGGCTCCAATGACTGTCGGAGTGGCCAATCTTTCTTGATGTAGTGGGAATCTCTTGCACGACTATCCCATTCGCAGAGAAAACAGCAGTACTTTGTGTATCCAGTCAGCAGACCAAGCAAGAGAGCAACAACCTTCAAATCGCCACAAAGCTGCCACTGATGTTGGTCATCGTTTATGCACCTCAAAAGTTGTTTCATGTTGTCATAGGTTTCCTTCATATGGACTGCATGACCAACTGGAATTGATGGCAAAACATTGCCATTATGTAGTAAAACAGCTTTAAGACTCGTCTTCGATGAATCAATGAACAGTCTCCACTCATCTGGATTGTGAACGATGTTGAGGGCTGCCATTACACCATCGATGTTGTTGCAGGCTACAAGATCACCTTCCATGAAGAAGAATGGGACAAGATCCTTTTGACGGTCACGGAA